AGCAAGGATTAATCGGGGTCGCAGATCGGTGCGCCGATGGCTTATCGACATAAACCCACAATCATGGCTTTAAGGCAACCCTTCTATACCTTCCGGTAAGGCCAACTTACGAATCCTTTCCACTGGCCTTTTCAACCGAAATGAAACTTACTCCAATATCACTTTCCAATGCTTCAATTGCTTTTTGATGTTTGGCGCAATGATTGAAATAGTATTGGTTATGATCTCCATTTAGAAATTTTTATTATTCAGGATGATCTCAATCCTCTAAATTGTATGGACTTGGTATCAGCTCTACTGCGTTGATTAAAGGCCTACTGCGGTCATGATCATTACTAATAAATTTCAAATATTGTTACTAAATAAGAGCAAATAATAACATAAATCACTCATCTAAGCTAATGCTGACACTTTTATTGCACTATTCTTTTATATCTACTAAACCAATCCTCTTTAAGGGCGCTAACTTTTGGTCATTATGAGTTACAACTTATCAAGGTGACAAGCGAAGGCCAGTTTTCTGTTCAATCATTGGGTATCACTCCTCGCCGCTATTTTTTGTTCTACCCTCTAGTGCCGCATCTCTTTCTCTCAATCCAACTTCATATGGCCCATCAACTTATTTACGCAATTCTGTTCTCTCGTTTCCTCTAATGTCGCCTAAAAATGTGTCGCTACAAGTGGGTTAAGTAAAGAGTAATAATCTCCACCACCGGTACCAGATGCCGTTTGAAGGGCTCCTGGCCTATCCTCTACCCCCCTTTCTTTTCATATCCTCTCGTCAATTGGCCGCTGCTAAATATCAAAAGCACTGTTTGGCTCTGAACTCTTGCTGCCTAAGAACCTTCCATTCCCGTCCTCGATTACGCCATATTCCATAAGTTATAGCAGATAGTGCATATGTCAGTGTCTTGGAATCTTCCTCTCACTAGGTGTCAAACCCGTGACTCTATCCTGTCTCTCGTTATTTGGGGCCTTGGGTCCGGCTTAAGTCATAACCGCTGATGTGAGAACGCACCGCTTCCCTTTTATCCCATTGAATCGCGGAAAACACACAATCCCATCTAATCCTATGGAACTGTGATGATGTCCCTGTGTGTGTTGGTTGGTATCCCCCATGGTCAAACCTGTCATCAGCCACGACACACACACTAGTGACCTCTCTAATCCACTTAAACCTTTAATCTTTAATTTGATATCCTACATCCTGGGTAAATTTTTGGCAAATTCTGTCTGATTCCTCTTACTTCAGTCACCTTTTCTTGACTTCTCTTTGTTCCTCGTGAACCGCTCCTTGGCAATGTCTCTTCCTGTTGTTGAACAATTGTCCTGTGTCCAAGCGTCTTCTTTTTTATGTATTCGTTGAATATCCAAATCTGCTAAAGCAGTACGCGAAATTATTCCTAACTCTTCAATCCTCCAATCTCCTGTTTATCAAGTTTCTTTCAAGAAGGATGTCCACAGCCTCCTTGATCTTCCTTTTCCTGGTGTTTTCCTCATATGAGTCCAGTCTTTAAGTTGCATTTCAGTCAATTCTGTGGCCGGTAAGGGCGATGTGTTCAGCTATCTCCGATCTATACGTATCCATTTTTCTGCTTAGTCACTGGTATTCTTTGATACTTTCGCTGATTGTCCCTCTCATGTCTCCGATGTATTTTTGTTCACAATCCTTTTAGTTTATGTTGTAACGTCCGGGACACTCAATTTTGTTGACTTCTTGTTGGTTAGGTAAGCTGGTGAAATGGACTGCCCTTTCCTTCGGGATTATACGAGTTCCATTTCCATATTATCTGCCGCAGCTTCCGAGCCAATTCGCAGGAGGGTAGACATATTAATCGTTTTCTATGTTACTCTTGCTTTCCATTCATAATCGCCATCCGTATGCTGCGTTGCATTGTCTCTTCTGGATATCCATCTCCAAGAGCCACCTGGCTTAGCTTGTTCTGGTTTTCTTCCCGGAACTCATAATCATTGAATCGCAAGCTTCTTATTTCCATACTCCGGAATATCCCAATTTTCATTTCATTAGTATGCTTAGACTAAAATGTCCTTGATTGCCTTGATTGCAAAATCAAATCCCTTCTTGGGGATCTCTATGCTTTCCAGGTCAAGAGGGACGGGAGACATATTCACTTTATCATCATTTATTGTATGGACTTTGTGATCCTTCATCCTTAAGGTATCTTTATTTTTGCCGAATGACTGAACCCTGAAATGCCCATATGTGCCATATTTATTCAGCTTCTGATTCCTTTTTTTTATTACTTCCGATGACATTTTATCTGTCATTTGTAGTTTCAGGAAATCCTCAGGTATGATAGTCTGACCCAAACCATACCTGAATCTAGATTTAAACCTAAAAGCTTAAATAATTTTCCCTTTTATCTATCATATTTTATCCAATTTTTGCAAAGAAGGTTTATTCATCTTGGTATTTTCGATCCGCAACCGACTTTATCGAGATCCTATCAAAGTCACTTGTGATTTCATTTGATCACTAACATTATATTTATGTCATTCGAGGCCTTGTTTCCCATGACCTGCTTCATGCGTTTTATAGCATACATACTCTAGTACAAAATCTAACAGGTCTAAAAAGCCCGGATTCTCATTTTTAATCAAGGAATAACTTAACATTTCGAGTGCAAGTGTTGGGTGGAGAGATTCGAAGGTCAGTCCCACCATAAGACGACGGTGGATTAATCTTGACCAGATGTCGATTGGCTTTACTGGAAGATTCATGCTGACGCTGTTTTCGAGGCAATCTCCTTCGATCCCGGTGAAAACGTGCTAAGCTTTCGTCCGTCATATGATGGACATCATCTGAGCGAGGTAACAGCGTCACAACAAAATTCAAACTAACGAGTCAAGAAAACTCACCGGAAGATCCCTAAAAAGTGGTATATATACTCTACATTTGGGCTCTTTGATCAAGTATAAAGTGATTTGGTTAGTTAAAGTCATATGTCAACTTCTATGCATGTTAGTGTGTCTGTCTCTGTATTTGTATGTGCATGTTTGTGTTCGCTTATGGACGAAACCCGAAGTGATGACTCAAAGTAATTAGGACAGCAAAAAGGAACGTCTGTTTTTGGCCATCAAGGTTTAATGATCCCTATCTCCCCCTTTCTACATTTAAGTTATAACCATCACTACGATTGCGCAAGGTTGGACACGTCTGGTTTTGTTGATGAGCCTATTTTTTGTTTTTTGTCTTAATGCGAGAGAGAAACAGTGAGCTAAAAGGACAGAGAATTGACTATCATTAGAACCAAAATAAGAAAAGA